TTCTCTGCTTCCTTTACCAGAATGTAAATTCCCCAAAGGAAGAATTTTCACTGGCTTATTTACTGCTGTTTTTCCAGTGACTGGAATAGTGCTCGGGTTACACTAGTTCAGTTGCTCAGTTGTGTCCGACTTTTTGTGACCCCACAAACTGCAGCATTCCAGGCTTCCCTGTCTATTGCAACTCCCAGAACCTACTCAAACTCATGTCCATAGCATTGGTGATGCCATCCAACCATCTCATCCTCTGGCGTCCCCTTCTTCTCCCGCCTTCAATCTTTCCCAGCATCAGGGTCTTTTCCAATGAGTCAGTTCTTCTCATCAGGTGGCCAAAGTATTGGAGTTCAGCATCAGTCCTTCCAATGAACACCCAGGACCGATCTCCTTTAGGATGCACTGGTTGGATCTCCTTGCAGTCCAAGGGACTCTCAGGAGTCTTCTCCAACACCACAGTGTTGAGTGGGTTACATTAGGCACTCAATAAATATTCATCAAATGAGAGAATGAATGAGTGGAAAACAGAACTGTGTGGGCTTCTTCAGAGTTAGTTTTTTGATTTCTAGAGGTAGCTACCAGTGATATAATTTATCCCAACACCAAATATTTACACAATCCCAAATGCTTACCATTACGTCTTTTGATTAGACTCCCTTCCACAAGTAAATTGGCTCTTGAATTTTGATCTAAAGCTGTTCACTGAAATACATAGAAAACTAAGCTGCCTGAAGCAGCATGCCAGAAATCCTAGGAAAGAGGATTAACACACCAGCCCGACTGACCCACATCCAATGTTCTGTTAACTTATGTTGGATGGGGTTCCAGGGCTGTTTCCTGAGGAAGCACTACCCTGGCCTGTGATGCTGGGAGCCTGGACTGGAAGCAGCTCAGGCTGTACGTGGAATAGATGGAGAGGAGAATTTTGTCAGGGTTTCCGCAGGGATGCGGCTTATGAAGGGTTTCCATCTCTTTATAGACAGAGGGAATTTATTCTTACTGGTATTTTTCAGGTTTTCTTGCTTCATCTCCTTCTTTCTCTTCCTCCCCCTTGCCCCTACTTAAAGGGAAACAGAGACATGTAACCATTTGCTAGATTGATTTTTGGGAGACAGGAACCCTGTGGTACTAAAACCTTCTCTACCCAAGCCTCTTCTTTCTGCACCTCATTAGTACCTGGAAGTTTAAATGACCCTAGCTAATGATACGTGGGGGTGGGGTGGGGTGGGGGAAATTGCCTGAGAATTCTCTAAATGCAGAGCCAAGAATGCTCTTTGCATCTTATTAGGTGGAAACTATCACTAAAAATAAGATGACTTTTATGATATTCTCTCTTTGTATTTGTTTCTAAAGAAGATATCAAAATTCAAGGAATCCCGTGTTGTAAAGTAAAAGAGAAAAGGAAGCAAGAGCATACAGATGACACTCTTAAAAACTTTGGGATTTAATGCATTTTTGAGACTTTCCTATCCCAGAACAGAACACCTAAGGGGTAATGCTATTGGAGAGAAGACCTGGGATCCTAGAAAGGACTGAGCTGTCTTTATATTGACATCTGAAGTGAAGAGGCTTTGAAGACCTTCAGAAATATTTTCCCATTACTCATCCTTTAAACAGGATCTTGGGAATGCAGATCATGGTACATGGAGCCCTGGGAAGCCTAAACATCATGGTATGAATGATGGGCGTTTCTACTGTGATCTAAGATTGAGGCCATTCAGTATTTTGAGTTGAAGTCTTGGCGATGAGTTAAAAGTGTTTTAAGCCTGAGATGGGCAAGTCCTAGAGTCCAGACCTGGCTCCTCTCCACAGTACTCCTTTGTTTAACTTGTCCTGCCTTGTCTTCTTTCTCCTCCTCCTCACATCTCTGTTCTTCCTATCCAAGTGTATTTCTTTTGTTTATTTTCTCTTTTTTTCCCCTACTCTCTCCTTTTCCTTTTCTTGGGTAATGCCTGACTCTAGCAGTTGCTTTCAGATCTAAGAGACTTCTAAAGTTTGTTCCAGGGAAAAGTAGAAGAGACTAACTGGACAAGGTGGAGGGAGAAATAGGGGAGGGATGAGGACACAGGATGTGAGTGGTAAGGTACCATGTGTGTCCTGACCTTGAGCCTCACGGTCTTCATTCCATGGGAGAGGATTTGAGTTGACTCGGGGTGAGGATGAGATTGCCAGCATCCCTCCTGCTGCAGCTCCCCCTCTGCCTCTGTGACTGGGAGAGCCATCCTTCTAACCTAGAGGCGCAATGTGGCAGAGCTTCATTTTCCCACCGCCCTTACAGGCAGGACAGTCATCTTCCATAATGGGTAGGAAGGAACATTTGCTGAGGGTCTTTGGGGAGAAATTTTCTCCCTTTGAAAATGCGATGCATGGAGGAAAGACCTCTCTTCTTTGTTTCTGGGTTTATTCCTGCCTACCTGTGGTGTCTGGAACTGCGGGAGCAGACATGCTACCATGAGGAAGGCATGGTGGAACACTCCAAGTCTGGTGGGCAAAGACACAGAAAGATCCTGTGTTCTTGAGACCACTGAGCTGCTCACCCAAGTTTGGAGCATCTTATATAATTGGCCTTCATATTTAGGGCATTTTTTACTTGGAGTTTCTACTACTTGCAGCTGAAAGAAAGCATTTTGATGAAGAACAAGCAAGCATAACCTCATGGTTGGGCTTTACTTTGTGCTGACTTTTAGTTTCTTTCGTGTTATGTATTAAACAGATAAAGTTTTCTATATATTTGTCCTCTTTCTCTACTGCTGTCTTCTGTCTCTATTTGGGTTACTATCCAGAATCAGAAACTTCATTCTTTGCTCGTTTCTATAAATTTTCCTATTCAAATGAAATTCTTCATAAACCCAAAGTTTGCAGCTCCCACACCAGAATTAAAAAAAAAAAAACCAGTTTCAGTGATCTTTTTCTGCTTTCTAATGGGTGCTATATGATGCTTGCCCAAATAAGGCAAAGTATCACTTCTGGTAAGATCTGTTATATTTTGCTGATGCAAGCACAAGAGGGGTCTTTCCTCTTGTTTTATCCCCCCCTCTGTGTATTCTTTCCAGAAATGAGGTCTGAAGGGTATTCTGTATTTAATGAGTGGAGACTTGTAGTGAAATACAGTTTCTGGTGCCATCAGCCCTCTTTGCATTATTGCCTCTGTGTGTGGCAAGATAAAAATTGTTTATTAATCTGTAACGCCAGCTCATCATTTCACTCTGTTCTGTAAGAGCTTCTGGATTTACTCATTTGGTCTCTTTGTTCTGACCACTCTAAGGAGGATCCTATATTATCTGTCAGCTTCTTAGGATTCAGTGAAGGAGGATCTGGAGGAAAAGAGGGTTGAGGAGGAAGGTGATAAGAGAGCCTGGCCAGGATGGGACTGAAGAAGTTTATGGTGGATTAAAGCTTGAGGAAAGGTATATGGGAACAGGTCCGGGTGCAGGTTAAGGGGCTGGGAGGTATGCTTGCAGGGCTGGCATTTACCCAGTTTGTACTAGGATGGCCCAGTTGATTGCTCACCACCAGGGTTCATTCTGAGATCAGTCCCTGGGCTGTACCAGTTGTTAGTATTTTGAATATCACCTCTGGAGACATGGGTACTTTAAGAAATCCCTGGGAGACACTGGCCCTCTTTATGGTATTCAGGATTATGAATAGAAATTTTAGAAAAAGAGCAACTTCAGATAACATTTTGGCATTTCTTTTGGTTATGTTTCTTTTTCTGTTCCTTTTCCTTCCTCCTCTCCCTTTGCCATCCCCCTTTCCCCCCTCCCCCCCTTTCCCTGGGTCACCATGCATCCTGAAGCACCATTCTGGAAGATGCAGGATAGAGGAGTTACCTGTATAATCACTGTTTAGGAGGGAGAGTAACTGATACGGGGGAATTCCAGTTTTTTTTTAATTCAAATACAGGAAATAGAGAAAGTGTTTTTTTCCCTTATGATTTGTATAAAGAATTTTGAAATGCTTAATGTAGTTGCCTATAAATATATTTGCTGGTTTGAGGAAAGTCTTATCTCTTACCAGGAAGTGTATGACAGAGTAATGGAATGAAAGCCTTCTGAGATTCTCTTGGTGTATGTTTATCTTTGAATATATTCTTGACTCTCAGAACCACTATCTGTTAAACCATTGTGTCATCAACAGCTATGTTGTGAAATAATTAATACTGTTTCCTATTTTTAATTTAGATGCTACTTGCTTTTTAGTCCAAATTCAGAAATACATTCCCTCTGGTCACCAACAACGAAGAAAAATGATTGCAGATGGAGTTAGGAGAGCCCAACAGTGTGGCACTGGAGACCTGGGGGGAAAATACTAAATGAAAATGCTTTATTTTCATGTAACTCTAGAGTCATGCTCTCCAATAGAAATATAACATGAGCCACAAACATGATTCACTTAGGTAATTTTAAATATTCTAGCAGCCACATTAACAAATGTAAAAAGAAATAGGTGAGATTAATTTTTAAATGTATTTTTCTTAGTATGTCCAAAATAAAACTTGTTCCAAGGTGTAATCATTATCAAAATTATTGAGATATTGTAATTCTTTTTTCTTTGCACTAAATATTTGAAATCCATTGTGTCTTTTACTCATAGCATGTCTCAGTTCAGGCTAGCGGGATTTCAAATGCTCAATGGCCACATGTGGCTAATGGCTACTGTACTGATCAGCTCAGCTCTAGACTATTTTTGTGGATACTTAATCTATTTTTCACTCAATGCTCATAATGATCAGGGGGTGCCAGGTCACATCTGCAGAGATGGTTGGTTTTTCTTCAGCTCTTGTTAATTCATTTGGGACCAACTTTTGAAATGTTTGCCATGGGCCAAGAGAAGGATGGATTGGCTTTGACATGGAACAAGGATACTCTCACAGGAGACTTGGAGCTTTGTGGGCTGGTTGTAGGGATTTGTGGTTATTTATGAGGTCCGCCTAGTCAAAGCTGTGGTTTTTCCAGTAGTCATGTATGGATGNAACTCCCATTGCAGAGGAAGACACTGAGCTAGGGAGAAGTCCTGCCTTATTGTGGAATAAGAATGAAATCTCAGCTTCAATTCCAAAGTTTCTGTGTTCTTAACAATATAATCCATAGGCATGCCATATGGGTTGTATACTTCAGTCAGGGTTTGACTGAAGAAGCAGAAGCAGTCTTGCATATGTATATATGGCATGGATTTGTTACAGAGAATTGACTTACACAATTGTGGAGGTTGGTAAAGTGGGCTATGTAAGGATATTGTCTCCACATCTGATGCTAGTCTATAGGGCAGGCAGTCATAAAGGGAAGATCACAAGCATTCTTGAAGCCATAAGCAAAGATAGACTCCAGAAGTTCAAACTGAAATCTATTTCTGTTCTTGTTGCTTCTGACCTTGGTGGTAAAAGTGTTCTGCTGAAGATGGGGGTTCTTCAACATGGAGCTAAACACATACACTCAACTTAAGAGGCAGAGAACCTGAGGAAGTTTCCAGGGTATGGTGCACCCATTGGAGACTCACAGCAGTGAGCTGAATCAACAGATGAGCAGCAAAGTGTGCAGCTTCCCTTCCACCCTCCTGTTTTCCTGCAAATCTTTCATGTGGCCTACCTTCATGGGAAATGTTTAAGAAAGGGAATTCTGGGAAATGTAGTTCAGCCTACTCAAGTTGACATATTTCAAAGCATCACATAGATATTCAGTAAATATTCATTGAGGGAATGAGTGAGTGAATAAATATTGTACTGCCTCTCTTGCAAGTTCTCTGGGAGTCAAGACATTTAATTTTGGCTCTGCTTTTTATAAGTCGAGTAATGTTGGACAAGTCACTTAACCCTTTGAGTTTTGGTTTCCTCATCTATAAAACTCCAAGCATAATTCCTGTTCTGCCCGTTTAATAGGACTTTTATAGGGATCAGTTGAGATGATCTGAACAAGAGCACTTTGAATGCTATAAAGGATAGAACAAATGTGATGTAGTACTACATTATTTTAATTATTAATGTTGTTATGAAGTCTTCAGTTGCCTAATGAATCACGCAGAGTTAATACTTTCTGACCAATTTACCTTATGGATGTGCCAGGGAGATTAAATTAGATGAAGTATGTGGAAGTGCTCTGTCAGCTATGCCATGGCATATTCTTCAAAGGCAAGACATAATTGTCATTCAACATGCAGAAACATTTGTACATTGTGTTTTAGTTCTTGGCTAAATGTCTTAGGGGGATAAGTGTGTAACTGGAACTATTGGTAACCCTGGGAGCTGGGGGGCAGTGGCCATTCCTTGGATGAAAGTTGTGGGCAGTGGATGAGGTTTCTGACCTATAGGTTTGGGCTTGCACTTCATAGCAGCCAAACTTGCTCAGCAGAATGAAGAAATCCCTGCGGAAGTTCTTGGTGAAGATGGCATAGAGGAAGGGGTTGGCACAGGAGTTGATGGGGTAGAACAGGACCAAGAGGATCTTTGACTTGGACACAGTGATGAGGGGCACCTTGAGGGAGGCAGAGATGGCAAAGAAGGAGATGGGCGCCATGCAGAGGAAGTCGGTGAAGATGAGCATCGCCATGCGCTTGGCGATCTTGGTGTCACTAGAAGAGGATGTGATGTTGGGGTTCCTCACCGTGAGGTAGATGTGAATATAGCAGCCACAGATGACCACAAAGGCCAGAACATTGAGCACAAGGAGGGACATAACATAGAGTTGTGACAAGGGGCTGTCAATGTCCATGGGCAGGCAGATGCTCACCTTCATGTAGCTGCTGATGCCAAAGATGGGAAAGAGGGCAACTGCAAAAGCAAAGATCCAGCCCACCAGCATGATGCTGGCAGCATGGCGGAGCTGCACTTTGCATTCGAGCTGCATGGCATGGGTGATGGTATACCATCTTTCCAGCGTGATGGCGGTCAGAGTGTAGACTGAGAGCTCACTGGCAAAGACAGTGAAAAAGCCGGCAGCATCACAGCCTGCTCCAGTTTGCCAGTCAATGGCATAGTTGTGGTACTGGCTTTTGGTGTGGACATCAACTGAGGCTATGAGCAGCAGGTAGATTCCAATGCAGAGATCAGCAAAGGCCAGATTGCACATGAGGAACCGGGGGACCGTGAGTTTATACTGGCTGGTGATCAGGATCACCAGCACTAGGATGTTCCCAGTGATGGCCAGGATGCTAATAAACCATATCAAGACTCTGAGAATATCATCCCCCATAATATCTTCACATGGATTGAATGCGTCTGGCTCAGGGGAGCAAGTCACATCAACCACTTCATTGCATAAGTCATAGTCAAATTCACTGTACATCATGTCAAATCCTTTGGCATAGCTGGGCTCATCATCTTCTGCCAAAGAGACTCTCTGACCCCTAGCCTGAGTCATGTCATCAACTTCTTGCCTTAAAATAGATTTGTTGCAAATTGGATGAAGGTCAGAGCTAGAAAAATACAAAAAGGAACAGAGTCAACATGTTGGATCCAGAATGGCAAATATATCACTGTCTTTACACAGGGTAGAGAATGGGATTTCTTCCTGAGATTTTTTTTTTTTTCTTCTAACAGTTTGTCTGCCCTTGAGACTAAGCTCAAGGGTTAATGCTTCTTACTGTAAATGAACAGAACAACTCGTGTGTATATTCCTAGAGTTGGATGGCCCACTTGGGAAACCATCTGGCCACAACCTGAATGTGGGGAGGAAGGCGCCTGGGACTAGCTTAGCCTTACTGTTAAGTGCAGATAATTTACAGACTTGATATCAATTCCATCCTCTCCCTTCCCCATTGCTACTCAGCCCTCTCTTCATATGCCTGAGTAGTATACATGCTGTTTTCTCTACACTAAACTCCAGTCCTAGAAGCTCTGGACTGTCCTCTGACTCAAGTGGGAGTTTGTCTGCATAGATTGGAAGATGGGAGTCTTTAGTTTGTTCCCAGCCAACTCTGACCCTGGCTCTTTGGTACTTGTGCTACTAGGAGGTCTGCTAACTTGCCTGAAATGTTATTGAGGGGTGTATTCTTCTTTATTATTTCACTCCTCAAAGGCCTCAGGCTTTGTCTGCAAGGTAAGCCTGGCTCCCTCATTTTCAGCGGTTTGCTAGTGAGATCCCAAAAGGATCTCAACCTGAGAATGCAGGTTGTGAGGGATTGTAACTCATGCCCTAGGGAGCTGGATCTTCTCGGGGTCACTTTTTCTGTCTTAGTTTCCCCCCTTTGAACCCCAGAGTACAAGAGGCCTTGCCAACAGAATATAGGCACTTCCAGAAGGGATTTGAATGAAAGCCAGATTACAAATATTCTATCAGACAAGTGGATAATGCGTGTAGAGATAGGGGGTAGTAGTTCTGAATAGTTTTGAAGCAAAGTCTTAAGGAATGGGGATGTTTCACACTGGGTCTTCTTTTGAATGGAAACAATCACACACACCCTATTCATTTCCTCCCTCCTGGAGGGATAAACTCACAGCAACGTTGAGTGACTGAGTTTTTCTCAAGCCTTAACAAAGTCTCAGAAGTGAGTGGGTAGGTGAGTGTTAAAGCTCTTCAAAGACTGCCCTCTCCCCCCTGCCCCACCCCCACTAACCATAAGATGGAGAGAGTGACTGGGGCATGGAAGAGGTAAAGATTTCATTAGGTACTGAACGATGGGGACTGGTCAAGTCTGCAGTGGACATGGACTGGACTGAACTTTCCCCATGACCTCCCCATTCCTCCCTTCTCTCCCCTTCAGAAAGTAAAGTGAATTGCTAGAAAGTCATTTTTCCCTCGGGCCAACAGACTCAGACTCTTTTTTTTTTTTCCCCCTGGAGACTGTGTCATTTTGTTTTGTTTTGTTTTAGAGACTGATAGAGTTTCTTACATCAGCCATAGTTGACACTAAGGAGGTTAAACAGTTAATAACATACATGGAATTGAAAATGTGCACAAAATCTTTTGGTTTAGTCAGAGATCTTACCAAAAATGTAAGGCAAGCTCAGAGACAGGCAAAGAGGGAACACGAGAATCACTGTGTTTTAGGGCATGGAAGAGGTAAAGATTTCATTAGGTACTGAACGATGGGGACTGGTCAAGTCTGCAGTGGACATGGACTGGACTGAACTTTCCCCATGACCTCCCCATTCCTCCCTTCTCTCCCCTTCAGAAAGTAAAGTGAATTGCTAGAAAGTCATTTTTCCCTCGGGCCAACAGACTCAGACTCTTTTTTTTTTTTCCCCCTGGAGACTGTGTCATTTTGTTTTGTTTTGTTTTAGAGACTGATAGAGTTTCTTACATCAGCCATAGTTGACACTAAGGAGGTTAAACAGTTAATAACATACATGGAATTGAAAATGTGCACAAAATCTTTTGGTTTAGTCAGAGATCTTACCAAAAAAGTAAGGCAAGCTCAGAGACAGGCAAAGAGGGAACAAGAGAATCACTGTGTTTTTCCAGTCATTGGATTGGCAGCAGCCCAGTTCTAAGAACAGGAAGTAAGTAACCTGGCACTTGCAGACTGTGATTGGGTTCACTGGAATGGATCTGACTAACCATCTAGACACAGCCTTCACTTCACTGCTGTGATGATGCTTATTGTTGATACTGCTACCGGTATATGTTAAGTATTGATGTTTTCCTTTCCTGAAACAGAAGTGATCTAATGACATGAGTGGGGAAATGGTAAACAATGTATGTCTATGGGAGAAGACTAGAAAGAAAAATGGAAGCCAGGGAAATAAAGTCTTGCCTCTGCAATACCTCAGCAAATCCTAAGTATTATAAGAAATTGGAAATTCAGTTTGGAGTGGAGTTAAAAAGTGATACTCCTGGACCCCAATAAATCAATGAACAGTTACTTGGGAAGTGCATGGCAGAGTGGCCCAGAGTCTGAGCTTTGAAGATAGACAGAGAGTTTGAGTCTGACTGGTGTCGGTCAAGTTGTTTAGTCTCTGAGCCTCAGTTTCTGCCTTTGTGAGAAGAAAATAGTGCTGTTACTTTTGTGAAACTTAAATGAGATAAAGATGCAAAGTTTTAACATGCCTGGCAGTGAGTACTAGGCAGGTATCAGCAAAATGAAGACAGAGGATGGTGGTTACGTACTGAGTTCATGTTGGGGTCATGCCCTATGTGGGTACTTAATGAATATGCCACAGTGCATCAGTTTAAAATCTAGCTGGAAAGAAAGCACCTGAATACAAGAAATAACAAAACAAGGACAAAATAACTATGTTAGCTGAGTATAGAACTATGACAAGGACATGACCGGTTCAATGACAATTGAGGGAGGGGAGTGGATAATAAGATTTTTCCATGAGAGTTCAGAAGGGCCATTGGCCAAAATCTCACAGTCACAGGGCCTAAGATTTACACTTTGGGCATTATTTCCAAGTGAAGATTGGAGGGCCCGTTTCATCATGCATCTTTAAACTCAAATTTCATTACCTAACCACGCTATACCTACTATGGTATGTCATGAATTGACACAATTAAAACACAAATCCTGTGTTTATTATCTTCTGAATAGCATAGCCATGTTGTTGTGGGTTTGTGAATTTGCTAAATAGAAAGACCAAACATCATTGTGATTTCTGTACTCTGTCTTGGCATGTCTTCTTTGAAGAGCTGTGGACCTCTCCTTTGCCACACCTGAGAAGCGCTGATGTAATTTAAAATAGGGACCTAGAAAGGGTGAGAGCCCAGTGGTCCAGAGGGACAAGGAAACCCTTCAAGCCATGGTGCAATGTAAGACAGACCTGGAGATTTCCAGTCGGGTGATCCCTGAGGGAACATCTACACTACCAGGGGGTGGTGAAACCAGAGGAGTCTGGGCAACTGAGGAAGACCATATTCATATGGTGTTGGGTACTGATAGCACTTGATGGGCAGCTCCTTCAGTGGTCTTAACATCCTCTGAGATTTCTCCTGGGGGGCATTTTGTTCCAGGATTTTGGCAGTGAAATTGGTATCTTTCCTGACCTGGCTGGAATATCTCTTTCTGGAATATAAAAGAGGCAGGCCTTCTGCTTCAGCCCTTGCTCTTAAAAAGTCTAGTCGTTAAGAAGAAATTCCCTAGCTCTTGAGCTAACTTGCGGGGAGTGTCTGATTCTGGGGAGTTCCCTAATGATGTGTGCTAATTCTGAAGAGTAGCCCCTCTGCTGCCGACCCTTTACAAGGGTCTGCGTGTGGACTGCCTCCTCTTCAATACTTTGAAAACATTTTAGGGTGTGTATTGTTTGGTTGTTTTGTTTTATTTTACTTTAGGGGATATATCTGTTGAATAATAGAAGTGGCTACATTAAACAGTAAAACAGTATCATGGAAGCTGTGTTCATGTTGGGCTACTGTGCAAGAGAGGAAACCAGGCATCATCTGACTGAGTGCAACTGCATGGTATGGATTGTATCAGTGAGCTTAGGAGAGGCAGAAACTTGGAGAATTCCTGATACCCAATACCGTATATTGGAGAAGGCAATGGCAACCCACTCCAGTACTCTTGCCTGGAGAATCCCAGGGATGGCGGAGCCTGGTGGGCTGCCGTCTATGGGGCTGCGCAGAGTCAGACACGACTGAAGCGACTTAGCAGCAACAGCAGCGGCAATACATTATATCTCCGATTGTTGTTTAGTCACTAAGTTGTGTCCTACTCTTTTGCAACCCCATGGACTGTAGCCTGCCATAGGATTTCCCATGCAAGAATACTGGAGTGGATTGCCATTTCCTTCTTCAGGGGATCTTCCTGACCCAGGGATTGAACCTGCTTCTGCTACTTGGCAGGTGTATTTTTTTTTTTTTTTTTACCACCGAACCACCTGGGAAGCACCTGTATTCCTGGTGGATCGTTTATATATCTGGAACATGTAAACTTCAAAGTATCCCCTTTCTATAACTTCAACTTTTTATCCAGTTACCCACTAGGACTTGGCTTTATTAGGATTACCCTTTTTAACCTGGGATTCCTGGAACCTGACCAGCCTTGAAAGCCAAAGGGAACAGACATCATAATCTTTGTTCTCCCTGTGAGATGATAAGCTCCAAAGATGAGTTAGGGAGGTTTAGCATGGTGGAGAAGGAAATGGCAACCCACTCCAGTATTCTTGCCTAGAGAATCCTGTGGACAGAGGAGCCTGGTGGGCTGCTGTCCATAGGGTCGCACAGAGTTGGACACGTCTGAAGCCACTTAGCTTGCATACATGCATTGGAGAAGGAAATGGCAGTCCACTCCAGTGTTCTTGCCTGGAGAATCCCAGGGACAGAGGAGCCTGGTGGGCTGCTGTCTATGGGGTCGCACAGGGTCGGAAATGACTGGAGTGACTTAGCAGCAGCAGCAGCAGCGTGGTGGAGATGTGCTCTGGGTGTGTGATCAGTCTCTGTTATGGCATCTCTGCTTCCCCCCTCCAAAGCTGACTCTGATGGTCCCGGGCACACTTATGGTCGCCCCTGGTGACTCAGACAGTAAAGAAGCCACCTGCGATGCGGGAGACCTGGGTTTGATCCCTAGGTGAGGAAGATCCCTTGGAGAAGGGAATGACAACCCACTCCACTATTCTTGCCTGGAGAATTCCATGGACAGAGGAGCCTAGTGGGTTACAGTCCTTGGGGTCACAAAGAGTCAGAATGACTGAGTGATTAACACTTTGGCACATTTATAGGATGCAGAGTTTCAGACTTTAAGTATACACCCTTATTGGTATAAAGGGAAAAGGGAATAAACATTTATTAAGCATCAGCTATGAATCAGTCTTGCTTGCCGTGTTTTGTAGTAGCTCATTTAATATTTGGTGGGGAGCCTGCCATGTGGGTGGCTTTCTCCTGTGAACCCATTTCCAAAAAACATACTAAGGCTTTGATCTAGAACTTGCCTAAGGGATTTTATCATGGATGCAGAAGTTGTGGACCAAGTACTCCATTGGAGAAATGCCCAAACAGGGCTCAAGGGCTGGACAGAGAAGACTCACGTTTGCCGCCTCCAGTTTGCGAAGGCACAGCAGTGGCTGGGGTAGGTGAGGCTGGCCTCCACGAGTGTGACAAATTTTTCCAGACTGGGAAGCTTTTTTAAGCGGTAAGTTGACTTGGCCCGCAGCTTCTTAAGATTTTCTAAGCCATAGCTAGGCAGGGAATGGATCCTGGTTCTTGAAATATCTCTATAAGGAGAAGAGGCAAACATAACCTGATTACTATGAGTCTAAATTTTTCTGCTCTGTTAGCAGTCAAGATAGCAGTCATAGTAGACCTGTTTTTACACGAGGGAGGAGGGAGACACCTGTTCACCCAACACACCTCAGTCACATAAATATTTGTCTAAAGGGACATTTGGCCCTTGAGTTCATGGTAGGAGGATGTGGATAACAGGTTTCTCTGTATCCTGGATGTACTAGCGCTCTGGCTGATCTGGGGCTTAACTGTAGCCCTTTCCCCTTCCATAGTGTCTCTTTAGAATAGACACTCACAGAGTCCAAAAGTCTGTTCTGTACATCTGTGTCTCTCTTTCTGTCTTGCATATAGGGTTATCATTACCATCTTTCTAAATTCCATATATATATGTTAGTATACTGTATGGGTGTTTATCTTTCTGGCTTACTTCACTCTGTATACATATTTCAGAAAAGGATGCAAAGAGAACACACTATAAGAGGAAGGAGTATGAGGTGGGCAATAGAGGTACCCTCAGCCCAAAGACAAAGTGTCAGTGGGGAGTGGTGGTGATGACTGTGGTATCTATGGACAGTCTATGTGTGTACCCTGCCCCGCTACCTGTTAGATTGGTGACCTTGGTCAAGTTACCTCACTTCTCCATATGTCAGTTCCCTCAGTTGTAAAACAGGAATAGTAATAATCATACCTACCTCAGAGGGTGGTTGTGAGAATTAAACAAGCTAAAGTACATAGAAAACCTCCTGACCAACAGACAGCACTTGATGACAGGCAGCTGTTATCAGAAAACATCACACACACGCACAGGGTTGTTCTTGCTTTGTTGGAGAGTCTATGCCTCGGTGACCCAGGATGTCTATACAGAGACCAGTGTAAATGAACATTTTAACCAGGTTCCTGTCCCTGGTGGGCTCCAGAGCCCCGTCCTTGCTGACAGCAACACCAGTGACATGGGCAGTTTTCTGGCAGCACTGTTGGCAGCTGCAACCTTCAAAACAACTGTGACCAGCTAGTAGGTGCAAGGAGATTTAAATGGTACTGGCTTAGACTTCGGAGGTCAGTCGGCTGGCCATGAATGAGTGCTTCTGAAGGGGGGTGGTAGTGATGACCAGAAGGACTCATTTCAAGCATCCTTGGATATACTTGGTTAAGGAGAATCTTCTAATGTCTGCATTTCCTCTAAGTCAAAACAGTAGGCACTCGGAGCAATGAAACTTCGGGGTGTGAATATATATCTGCTACCCTAGATGATCTCCCAGTCTGGTGAAAATTACTTTCTCAAAGTCTTATTTTCATAGGGTCATTTATTCTCTTGCTCAAAAATTTATAATGCTTCCTATTGTCCAGTAAAGCCCACTTGTAACTGCTGCCCTGTTTGTCTCTTCCTTTTCCAATCAAACTTCTTATACTAGGTGTCCATACTTGATGTCACTGTTTTCTCATTTCCTAATCCAACTCAGTTTCTTCCCAACTCCTAGAGAAACAGTACTCATTAAGGTCACATCTTAGTTCTAACCTTCTTGATTTCTCAATTGCATTTCACGCATAAAACACTTCTTCATTTTTCTTGGCATCATTCTTTTGAATTTCTTCTGACATCTACTTTGGCTTATTTCTGATTTTGTTTTTTCTCCTCTATCTATTGGAGTGCCTCTAAACTCAGGTCCCTTTCTGACTGTACATAATCTTCCCAGGTGATCTTACTTCCTTGATTTCAGATACCAGGTATATGCTGATGGCTTCTCTGTATATATCCCAGTTTAGATCTTAGTTCTGAACCCCAAACCCAGATAATCCATCAGATCTCACCCTTTTGATGACTTGCAAGTATCAAAACTGAATTTACCATCTTCTTTTAAAATATGCTCCTTCTTTTGTTTCCTTATCTCAGCAAATGACTCCTCCATTTCCCTGTGCTGCTCAGGATAGAAACCTGGGAGTTATCCTTGACTCCTCCCTCTCCCTCCCTTGGACTCAATTTCTTGTTTTTGCAAGCCTAACTTTTACATTTGTTTCACATTGGTCCACTTTTTTTGGCCACATCTTTAGTCTAAGTCACCATAATCTCTGCCTAGAGAGACAGCAGTCTCAATAACTGTTCTTCTTGTGATCATTGTATTAAGGTTCTCCAGAGAAACAGAACTGATAGGATATATAGAGATATATAAAAGGATATTTATTATGGAATTTGACTTGCACAATTTTGGAGGCTGAATTTTGCAGATCTCCATCTGCAAGCTGAAGATCCAGGAAAAAGTTTGTGGTATAATTCAGTCAGAGACAAAAGCCTGAGAACTAAGGAGGCCACTGGTTTAAGTCCCAGAGTTGGAAGACCCAAGAACCAGGAGTTCTGATGTCCAATGCCAGAAGATGAATATTTCAGCTTAAGAAAGGAAACACATTTGTCTTCCCTCTGCCTTTTTGTTCTATGAGGGCCCACAACTGATTAGATGATGCCCACCCACACTGGGGAGGGTGAATCTTCTTTACTCAGTCTGTTGAATCCAGTGCTAATGTCTTATGAAAACACTCTCACAGATGCACTCAAGAATAATATTTTACCAGCTATTTGGGCATCTCATGGCCCAGTCAAGTTGATTTTAATTAATTTAAATTATTAATTTAATTAAATTAATGATTTTAATTAATCACCCTGGCCTCTAGCTCTAATGCAATTGTTACACTGCAGATTGGGTGATATTTTAAAAATCCCAATTAGATTGTGACCTCCTGCTTATAACTAGTCAGTGATTCTCCATTGCACTTCCAATGATGTACAAAGCCCTGAATATGATGTGCTGGTCTGCCTGATCTCTCTCACAACCACTCCGTGCCCTCTTCTGTGTTCTCTTCTGTCTTGCAGGAGAGATGGCCTCTAAAGTTTCCATTTCCCAGGTACCACCTTGTCAATCACTTTTGGTTGTGTTGAGCAAATGGCACCGGTGGGATTGGCAGGTGGGAGGAAGGGTGAAGTGGGGGCATTTCTCATCCCTCCTCTGCCTCAGGCAGCGGCTCTTCTGTGACTCCAGCTTCATCACGCAGATCTGTGGAGGATCCAGCAGCTACCAGTCATCCCAGTTCTGTGCTTCAATCAGATCACATCCTCGCTTGCCTTTCCAGTCTAGGATTAGTAGCAATTATCTACCATTGCTAATCCCTGGACTGCTAATTCCCTGCTTGATACTAAGGGAAATTTACATTTTCAGAGTTAATGATTATCTTGATATAATACCTCTGTATATTTCACTTAGTCCCCCTCCTTGTTAGATACCCAACAGATCAAATTTGTCGTTGCTATTGTTCAGATACTTCAGAGTGCTTGCTGATTTTTGCTTGCTCGTTTCATCACTCCTAAGTATTTCCTTATTATCTCTATTTGTATATCTAATAGACAGATAAAGCTTTAGATATTAAATGTTGAGCTCCTGATCTTGTCCCAAACCTTCTCTACTTGCAACCTTCCCTGTTGTTCATGCAAAACCTTGGCAGTCACCCTTAACTCTTCTTTCTCTCTTACCTTGTGTGCCCACCCTCAGCAAAATAACTTGCCTTTACCTTCCACATATATCTGGAACTTACTTGCTCCTCACAACATTCATTGCTGTCACCACAGGATAAAGGTTCTTGGTGTTCCAAGGTCTCTTTTCTAGTTCTTGCCTGTGTATTCTAATTCTGTGGAGCTGGGGTCCCTGGAATTGAGAGTCTGATCCATGAACCTTTGTCATTGTGGTGAGTCTTCACTCTCTGATGCTGAAAGATCCAGCTGTCCTAGCCTGTTCAACACTTAGCCTTTCTATTGCTGCAGAGATTCTCAACTTTCTTTTCTGCTCTGAAAAAAATCTCTCCAGTTTCTCTCTTCAGGCAGTTGTTCCTCTGACCAGTTCTGCTATTGACACTCAAATTCTGGTCCCTGGGACCAAGTTTTTATTTTGCATGGTACACGGGCTCTTATTTTCTTCCTCAAGTATGGAAGGGAGCAAAGATTTCTTGTTTTGCCTAAAACAGTTCAAGGCTTCCTACGGGGACTGAGATGAAGGCATAAACAAAGTCCTTCAGTAGTAATTTAAACCAGGGGGATTATTTATTACTTACCATTAGCATTTTTAATATTTCTAAAATCAAGCGATACAAAACAGAAGACTCTTTTTCTTAGTTATGCCTTCACCTCTTAATTTTAGAATATATAAAAATCACATTACTGAAGATTTCCCAAAATAAATTTTTATATTGCATGCAATGGCATCATATTTTCTCTTTGACTCTCACTGACTCTCATTGACTCATATTTCTCGTTGATTAAAGATGACTGCAATTTCTTCATGCTCTCCCACAGATGGTCTATTTGCCCTTCCCTTGAATCCCCACGATGTGTTTGGACTACAGTAGAGTATGATGAAAGTGTTACTCTGCCAGTTCTGGACCTTGCTTCTAAGAGCACTGATAGCTTCTAAATCTTACAGAGCTGTAAGCTGCCATGCAAGAACTCGGAATGCTCTGATAGTGCCATGCTGGAAAAAGTCTAAGCCAGGTACAGAGGGTCTGGAGGATAAGATGCCACGTGTGTGTGTGTGTATGTGTGTGTGTGTGTGTGTGTGTGTCTGTATGTAGAGTGGAACCAGGGAGCACCAGATACTTGAGTGAAGAGGACAACTTGCAGTACATCCCCCAGACTCAGCCATCTGAGCTGACATCACGTGGATCAGAGACAAGACAAGCTACCCAAACTTCTAAAACAAAACTGTGGGCAAAATGGAACAATTGCTTTAAACCACTGAGTTTAAGGATAGCTTTTATGCAGAAATAGAGAACTCAAACAGATTCGCGTTGACTCCCATCATCTCCATCGTTTTTAACAGCTGTAGAAGCATTTTTCCTTGAAAGCCATTAAGAATGCTACAGCACTATAGTCTGTATACTTTTCTGCGTCTTTCACTTCCCATTTTTTTCTTTATATACTAGCTCTTTGTATTTGCATTTTCTCTCTCTTGTAGGGCAGAGGACCCCTTTCATTCTTAGCAGTGCCTTTTACATAGTAAGCACCCAGAAAATTATTGCTTTGTTCAGACGGCTGATTCCGAGCAACCACATTTTGTGTAATTAAGGGAACCACAGGATGGGATTTGATCTCTGAGCCTTGAAAGCCAGGTGGAAGAGTTTAGAGTTTCTTTGAGCAGAAGAATGACTTATTGAAAGCATCAATTTTATTAGATTAGTCTTGAGAGTCTTAAACATGGCACACAATAGGTGTTCATTCATTATGAAATGACTGGAAGAAGAAAGGAATGGCTATTACACAGATGTGGACATGAGATGAGAGCTTACCTCCTCATACTGTTGCTTCATCTGTTAAGTCACTGTATCACATGGCAAAGATTTATTGGGTGTCTGCTCTGTTACTAAAACTTCCTGTGATTTCTGCAGAGATTATAGTTCTGCACAGTAGCTTTTGTTCCTCTACCAGAATGAAATAACTTGGGGCTGGTACTGTTTGTTTTTGAGTCTCTATATCCATCACATCCATCCAAAGATGGGCACAAAAAAAAAGATAGAAATGGCAAAGACCTAATAGAAGCAGAAGAGATCAAGAAGAGATGGAAAGAATACACAGAAGAACTGCACAAAAAATATCTTAATGACCTGGACAATCACAGCGGTGTAGTCTCTCACTCAGAGCCAGACATTCTGGAGCGTGAAGTCAAGTGGGCCTTAGGAATCACTGCTGCCAATAAAGCTTGTGGAGGTGATGGGGTTCCAGCAGAGCATGTGGAAGTGCTGCACTCAATTTGTTAGTTAATTTGGAAAATCCAGCAGTAGCCACAGGACTGGAGAAGATCAATCCTCATCCCAATTCCCAAGAAGTACAGTACTAAAGAATGTTCAAACCACTGGACAATTGCACTCTCTCCATGCTAGTAAGGTTATTCTCAAAATTCTCCAAGATAAACTTTACATTACATAAACCAAGAACTTCCAGATGTTCCAGCTGGGTCTAGAAAAGGCAGGGGAACCAGAGATTAAATTGCCAACATTTGCTGGATCACAGAGAAGGCAAGAGAATTCCAGAAAAATGTCTACCTCTGTTTCATTGACTATGCTAAAGCCTTTGTGTGGATCCTAACAAACTGTGGGAAACTCTTAAAGAGATGGGGATACCAGACCATCTTACCTGTCTCCTGAGAAACCTGTATGCAAGTCAAGAAGCAACAGTTAGAACCCCGAATAGAACAACTGACTGGCTTAGGATTTAAAAAGGAGTATGACAAGGCTATTTATTGTCACCCCGTTTATTTAACTTATACTCAGAGCACATTATGCAAAATGCCGGGCTGGATAAGTTACAAGCTGGCATCAAGATTGCTGGGAGAAATATCAACAACCTCAGATATGTGGATGATGCCACTCTAATGGCAGAAAGCAAAGAGGAACTGGAGAGCCTCTTGATGAGAGTGAAGGAAGGGAATGAAAAAGCCGGCTTTAAACTCAATATTAAAAAAAGCAAAGGTCATGGCATCCAGTCCCATGACTTCATGGCAAATAGAAGAGTAGGGTTGGAAGGGTAAGAGGTAGATTTCCTCTTCTTGGGCTCTAAAATTACTGCAAATAGTGACTGCAGCCAAATTGGAAGACTCTTGCTTCTTAGCAGGAAAGTTATGACAAACCTAGACAGTGTGTTAAAAAACAAAGACATAACTTTTCTGACAAAGGAATGTATACTCAAGGCTATGGTCTTTCCAGTTGTCATGTATGGATGTGAGAGCTAGACAGTACAGAAGGCAGAGTGCTAAAGAACTGATGCTTTCTGATTGTGGTGCTGAAGACTCTTGAGAGTCCCTTGGAAAGCAAGGAGATCAAACCAGTCAATCTTAAAGAAAATCAACCCTGAATACTCTTTGGAAGAATTGATGCTGAAGCTGAAGCTCCAATACTTGGGTCACCTGATGCGAAGAACTGACTCATTTGAAAAGACCCTAATGCTGGGAAAGATTGAAGGCAGGAGGAGAAGGGGACGACAGAGGATGAGATGGTTGTATGGTGTCACTGATTCAATGGACCTGAGTTTGAGCAAGTTGGTGTTGGACAGGGAAGTTGGTGATGGACAGGGAAGCCTGGCGTGCTGCAGTCCACGGGGTCATGAAGAGTAGGACACGACTTGGTGACTCAAGAGCAATGAACATCCCTCACATCTAGCAGAGAACCAGACACACATTGAATAGATGCTCAATCAACATGTACCAAATATATGACATGTAAGCCCTGCTATGTTCAGTGAATGAGTGAGGATGTCTGCTTTATTACTGACTGTTCTTAGGGCTGGTGGGCTAGACAGGAGGAGGAGTAGAAATGGGTAGGTGTTTTTAATCCTTGTCTTTCAGGCTGGTCTCATGATGGCAGCCTTTCTTTATAAGGTCCCACTTTGGTTAACATGCTCCATTCTGGAATTGACTGGTTTTGAGAATTGAAATCCTGAAAAGTAGCCCCAACAGGAGACATCATAAGACAATGGCTAACAGGACTTAGCAATCCTAAACTGTTTCAACATTGTTAGCATTCTTGATTTTGAGCTACAAAGCAGAAAGGGAAACAGCAGTCAGTAATAAGATGCTGAGTCAGGAGAGGCAGACGTTAAATTGTGCTCTGTGCCCTGTTTAATAAAGTGCATTATAGCCAGTGCCACAAATTTGATTTGAACAATTTCTATTTTTCCCAGCAAAGATGTTATTACAGGTCAATCATTTCCATAAGCGAGAGCACATTTCTGATGTATACTACACTGACAGATGTCTAGAAGACCTCTCTTTCATGATCCCAGGTGGAATAAAAAGGCAATTTACTATCTATAGGACTGTGGGTGTACTGGTAATGGAAGAGAATCATTCTTATACAAATAACTCAGTGTTTGAATCTGAACTATCAAATGAATCTGAGCTATAGCCAAATCAATTTGATAAACCATCAGAATATGATTGTACTGGCTCCAGCCTGTGAAAGCAATGCATTAAATTTTCCCCACAGGAAACGGTTTCCCAAGGAAACAGCAATTGCTTGATTGCTTAAAAAAAAAAAAAAGAAAACTTGAGTGAGTTCAGAATATCAGGTGAAAACTCAGATGGCTGCTGATGTTCAAGGTCAAGACTCATGAGGGGGGAATCAGGATGCTAGACTGCTCCTGGAAACTCAGTGGAGCTTGTCTGTGTGCCCCTGGATTTCTCTGCATCTATTTCTCTTTGCAATGGAACATCTTATACTTGCACCCTCAGGTGTTCAGGGGCTCCCTGTTTTTTCACTCAGCTAAAATTTTTGCCTTCAGGAAAGGAGTTATGATTGGTTTGGGTGCCCTCCCCTTAACTCCCTTAGAATCCCTTGCATATATGTACTGGGGCAAAGCACTGAGACTGCTAGGAGGAAGATACGCCACTGTTGGCTCCTGAAGGAGATGGGGAGACCAGGCCAAGCTTCCCAACTCCCAGCTGTGCTTCAGGGGCCGTGATTCTCAGTGTGTGTTCTGGACCAGCAACATCAGCTTCGCCCGCAAAGTTATTAGAGATGCATATTCTCAGGCCCAGCCCTGACCTGCTGATTCAAGCCCACTGGAAGTGGGGATTAGCCATGTGGAGTTTTATAAGCATCCTGGGTGGTTCTGATGCATGGTCAAATTTAGATCCATGGCTTAAGGGCATTTGAGGACCACTTACAGCTGAGGTGGCCCATTGCTGGGTTCTGCTCTGGGATTTGCCCTCATCTGACTCGCCCAAGTCTTGACTTCTCCCCTGGGCCTGCCTGCACCCAGTGACTGTTGATGAGGAGGATCAGTCCCTGGCCTTAATTCAGTCAACTCTGAAGGGCCATTCTAACTCCAGAGCTCCCCCTAGAATCAGCCGAAACTTCTGTTGCAAATGCATTGTAGTTCACCTCTCTTAGCCTGATTCTGCTTCCATCAAGTACTCCCCACAGGCTCCAAGAGCACTCTCCAGGAAGCCTTCTGCATGCAGATACCCACATCACTGTCTGATGTTCAGTGAGAAGAATCTGATCCAAGCTACAGTCACAGCCCTAGCCTGAGCTGCGTCTGTGGTGGGCTGAGCAGTCTACACTCACTTCTCCTACCCATGAACCCACAGCCAGCATGGGCTTGTACTCTGCACACGCACTAAACAAGCAGCCTTCAGGTCAGGGTTTACCTGGGATTGGCACATAAAGCTGGAAATAGAGGATAGACTAGGTTATAGAGCCCCAGGTTAGCAGCCAGAGAGGCTGGAAAGACATCTGCATACTAACCTGAAAGACCCAGAAAAGGAGGCTCAATGTTAAGCTGACCAACCTTCTTGCCCCTAAGGGGAGGAGGAGTAGGTGATCAGCAGTTAGAGACTGGGGTGTAGGCCAGGATCTTACACATATATCGTCATGCATTGACATGAGAAGATATAGAAATGTATTATCCCTCTCTACCTTTTTGCATGCTTGCTAAGTCGTTTCAGTAGTGTCTGACTCTGTGTGACCCCCATGGGCTACAGCCCACCAGGCTCCTCTGTGCATGGGATTCTCCAGGCAAGAATACTGAAGTGGGTTGCCATGCCCTCTTCCAGGGGATCTTCCTGACCCAGGCATCAAACCTGTGTCTCTTATGTCTCCTGCATTGGCAGGTGGTTTCTTTATGACTAGTGCCAGGCGGGAAGCCCCTCTACCTTTTTAAGTCATGGCAAATGCTTCATAATTCCTTTGGATTTTCTGTAAATTTTACTCACTGTTTCTGTGGTAACAGTGTAGAAAATGGGCCTGTAACTTGAGGACTCTGCAAAACTGCTGGTGATGATGTCATCCCTCTTCTTGCTGGCACTCGTGGCAGGGCTGGTTGGGGGTCTGTGTTGGTGTTTTCCACTGGAGACCCTAGTCAGACATACTGTGCAGTGCCTCAGCCTGGGACCTACTTGTCAATGTCAGGGGACGTTCTTCTATGCTGTGTGTGTCTACCTTTTACTAGTGTTCTTGGGCTGGGGGCGGGCTCTGGTGTTTATAGTTGTTTTTCCCCCTGTTTTCGTTCACAGTAAATTGAGGGTCCCTTTCAGATGTTCAGTTGGATCAGTTGAAGTACTTTGGGTGACACGGTATGGTGGGAATGCATAGGATATGAGGCAGGAGACCTAGCTTCTGGTCCAGGCTCTACCACTTAGTGCAGCAGTGTGATGGTTAGCAGGTTACTTCCCATTTCTGGCTCTGGTTTCCTCAGCTGGGTGGTGAGCTAGACAAGATCCTGTCCAGCTTGAATGTTCTCAGTAGCAGACAGTAGTTAAGGTGCTGTGATGTCATAGTGTATCTGGTACAGGTCACATGTGGAAATCTACCCCATCAGACATGTTCTGCCATAAAAGACAGGGGTGCTGGTTTAGGTACATTCAAAACCTTTAGGACTGTTCACTAAGTGAGATTAACACACTGTTGTTCTCCTGGTCAAAGACATCAAATACACTTTCTCTGTTTGTCTCCCACGTACTCTGAGAATAAGAAATATCAACTAAGCATTACAAATTCTGAGTGTGTTAGTTGCTCAGTCATGTCCGACTCTTTGTGACCCCATGGACTGTGTCCTGCCAGGCTCCTCTGTCCACATGATTCTCCAGGCAAGAATACTGGAGTGGTTTGCCATTCCCTCGTCCAGAGAGCTTGCTGACCCAGGGATCGAACCCACCTCTCCTGCACTGCAGGCAGATTCTTTACCAACTGAGCCACCAGGGGAGCCCTCCAAGTTCTAAGGACTCTGTGTATGGAAGCACAGGGGCTGTATGCCTGGCGCTCCGCATTTGTTACCCCCAGGTCCTACTTGATGCTTCATAGCATACATCATAGTTCAATATGTTAAGTTGCATATTTAGTTCTGATATCTGACTTCTTTATAAGAGTATAAGCTTTCTGTGAGGAAGAACTTTTGTTTCTTGCACTATATACAGTGCATGACCTAGGGCTGGTGCTTAAAAATCTTATCTGTTCAATGAGTGAATATACATATATTCACTCTCTATATATGTATATATACACACACACACCCTTACATATATATTATTATTAAGCTTCAAACAGTATTAGACATGGATATTATTGTTCCTGTCATTGTTTTAGGTCAGTAAACTGAGGTTTAGAGAGGTGAGAGAACTGGTTTTAAACCTAGGTAGTCTTCTCTGGCATCTCTGCTTTAATCATGCAAACATCCCTTCTTTTGTACATGTTGCCTTTCTGAAACCAGGCATTCTGGAATGATCTTTGAACTTATTCAAAGAGATAGCGTCCCACATAAAAGTTACAACAGATCCTTTATCATCATTAATAATCATTAATAGAGTTAATTGCTCTAACACACAGGCTCTCATTCTAGAGATGCACAGGTTCCAACCTGAAGGAGAATGCAGTTGCCCCCAGGTGTCTGTGGGGAATTGATTCCAGGACCCACTGAAGACACCACAATCCATAGATGCTCAAGTCCCATGGCCCTGCCTCTCTTATCCATAGTTCTGCATCAAGGATTCAACCAACTGCAGACAGTACATATTTATTGAAAAGTATCCATATATAAGTGGACTCATGCAGTTCAAACCTGTGTTGTTCAAGGGTGAACTGGAAAGCTTTTTGGTGAAAATGAAAGTGATGTTGATAGTTGGTAGGCAGGTAAGTAAATAACCTATGTACTGACTGCCAAGTAAGAGGTACAAGCTAGTGGCCCTCAAATGCCTGAACTGACCTCAGGGTAGCTATGTAACAGTCATTCTGCAAACCTTTACATTTGTTCATGTGTTTATCTGTTTCTTTGCTTACTATTTCTTCTTACATCTGACTCCTTCCTTCTGGATACCTTTCTTCTTCCTGTAATACATTTGTCCATAGATGTAGTGGGTCTTGCTTAGAACCTGGGGAAATACATTTTAAAGAAGCTCTTGCAGACCTGGGCCCTTCAGCCATGAGGGCTGTGGGAGTTGCAGGAGGAGGAATTCACTGTTAGCAGAGATTATCAATGAAGAGCTGGGGGTTGGAGTGACCCATGTGGAAGGGAAGGGCAGGGGCAAATAAAAACAGAGAAAAGTCATTCTTGGTGGGAGAAATGAAGATGAGCAAGCAACAATAGAAGGAGAGGTGCTGATACAGTGCCACGAGGCTCTGGTGGCACCCGAAGAGATCTGAAATTGAGGCAAAGAGGAGCCAAACATAAATGTGTGTATTTATCACTGGTTTGAACAAAACTCCTGGACCCTGAGGGTGAAGATGGAGAACTGTGCTTTCCCTTTCAGGGAAGAGATGTATAGTAGAGTGGTTAAGAGTGTTCTAGGAGTCAGATCAGTTTGGTGTTATGTCTGTGCTCTAAAATTTCTGTGACCTTGGGCAAATTGACCCCTCCAGGGGCCAGTTTTCCCTTCTCTAAAATGGGACCAAATAGCTCCTACCACAGAGGTTATTATAAGAATTAAATTAGAAAATGCCTCTAACATTTTTGAAACACTTTCTGGGACTTGGTAAGTGTTCATTAGATAGTTGTTGTTATTGTTGTTACTGTATTGATATTTAGAGTGTAGGTCAGCCCTAAATTGTCCTATACACCTTTGCAGGTGATGCAGATAAAATTTGATCTTAATTGCCAACCCTGTCCTGCAAGCATCCCTGAATGGGAGAAAGTTGACTGCTAACTTACAGACACTGGTCTCTTGGACAAAGTTGACTGCTAACTTATAGATGTTGATCTCTCTCACTTGGAAGCGAAGGAGGCTACTCACAGAATGACCGGTCCGGAGGCTCCCTGGAAAACATCATTAGGCAGTTCTTCCAAATTACTGTTATCGCTTAGATTCCTGGGGATGGAGTTGAGAAAAGAAGGAGGGAAACACAAAGCCACATAAACATCACTGTTATAAGAGCCATTTCCCTCTAAATGGCCTGGAAGAATAGTCAGGGCTACTTACAGCTCATCTAGTTGGGTTCCATTGAATGCACAGTTGTGTATTTCTTGAATCCCATTTTTACTCAGCCATCTGAAATAAAAGACCCATTAAAAAACCAATAATGTCAGATGCAAACAGTACACGAGTTTCATAATTGGAAGCACTGGGGCAAGGTCAGACAGCACAGGTTAGTGGCATAAATAAAATACCACCCTAAGACTCAGGGAGCAGGGTGGAAGGGAGACTGATTTATCACTGTATAACCTTTTGTAATGCTGGAAGTTTGCATTATGTGCATGTATTACTTATTCAGAGAAATCAATGAAATTTAATTTTGAGAAGGCACACTTAGACATAGCAGCCTGGACCCCATAAGGTGTTTGCATACATCGTTCATGTGCAGAAATGATGCCATGGGAGGAGCAGACAAAGATCTTTCCCATCCTGAAGGACAGAAATAATACAGTTATTGAACAAGTGTCTGTAAGACAGAGAAAGAACATATTGTATCCCCTTTCTCTATTGCCTTAAGCCTCTCACTCATGCTCATTCACAGCAGCGGGCCTGGCTGTCATCAAAAAGTGATCTAATTAAACTGTCAGACAACCTGAACATCTCCCATGACCCATAGGGACCTGGCTATTGGAGTTTGTGGAGGTGTCTCTGGGTTAAGCCAGAAAGGAAGAGAAATCAATTATAGGGGCTGTGGGCTGTGACAGGGTGAGATGCTGTGAGCGGGTGAGGGAGGAGGCTCTGGGGGAGGTTGGACAGAATGGGGAATCATCATCCGGATTGTGCAAGGGTCAGTGAGCAGGTTTGCCTGGACAGGGGAGCCCAAGGACACCTTGGGCTGACAACTCTGCACTGCTGTGCTCCTGGATGGATCTGAAAACAAAAACAGAAACCCAAGGTTGGGAGGGCTTAGCCCAAAGAGCCTCTGATCACTTGCTCCTGATTTGCTGTCAGGTCCTCTTCCTTGTCCAGCTCAGTGGGTTTGCAAATAGCACTGTTCCCAAAGCTGACCCAGGGACACTCCCATGGGTCCAGGATGTTGAGAGTTTCTGTTGCTGCAGTGGGGAGCCCAACAAGCTTAAAATCAAAGGAGGACACACTGTGTGTTTTTCTTCCCCCTGAAAGCTAGTTAGCTGAAAATCCACACAGGAGCAATGTAGGTCTTTCAGAACATTAGCAACAGACTGGTAGATTCTGATGGCTAAGAAGTAGCTGTGCACCCCCAATCCTGCCTGCCCCACACCTTCCCAAGTGTACCCAGCACATCCAGCCTTACTGATGATTTGTCAGCCTGTTGGCTGGGGGTAACAGTGCTGAAGCAGCTGTCCCTAACCGGTGGGAGGTGGATCCTAGGAGGTGTGGACCAGACAAAGGAGTCAACAAGCTTTTTCTGTAAGGGGCCCAGTAATATATTTTAGGTTTTGTGGGCCAAGAGGCAAAATGAGAATATGACACAGGTACTTTGTGTTAGTCACTCAGTTGTGTCCGACTCTGTGTGACCCTATGGGCTGCAGTCCACTAGGCTCCTCTGTCCATGGGATTCTCCAGGTAAGAATACTGGAGTGGGCTGCTGTGCCCTTCTCCACGGACTTTCCAACTCAGGGATTGAACCCACATTGTCCTTTCCCGCATTACAGGCAGATTCTTTACCATCTGAGCCACCAGGAAAGTCTTATACTTTGTATAAGTAATTAAAAAACAGTTTCCATGAGATTTTTATTGACCAAAGTTAAAGTATAATAGTAATAATTGAGTACAATTTTTTTTGTACTATAGGTCTACCATTGGAAAGAATGGATTTTTTTTCTTTTGTTTGGAGTAACATTTTGCTTCATTTAGGTTCAGCTCTCCTATTCCTTATCATCAAAATCTTGACTTATAGAAACAAGTCCTATATGAGGACTAGATTTGGCCCATGGGCTGTAATTCAGTTCAGTTCAGTCACTCAGTCATGTCTGACTCTCTGTGACCCCATGAACTGAAGCATGCCAGGCCACCCTGCCCATCACCAACTCCCAGAGTCCACCCAAACCCATGTCCATTGAGTCGGTGATGCCATCCAACCATCTCATCCTCTGTCACCCCCTTCTCCTCCTACTCTCAATCTTTCCCATCCTCTGTCACCCTCTTCTCCTCTTGCCTTTAATCTTTCCCAGCATTAGGGTCTTTTCCAATGAGTTGGCTCTTTGTATCAGGTGGCCAAAGTATTGGAGCTTCAGCATCAGTCCTTCCAATGAATATTCAAGGTTGATTTAAGATTGACTGGTTCGATCTCCTTGCAGTCCAATGGACTCTCAAGAGTCGTCTCCAGCACCACAGTTTGAAAGCATCACTTCCTTGGTGTTCAGCCTTCTTTATGATCCAACTTTCACATCTGTACATGACTACTGGAAAAACTATAGCTTTGACTATACGGACCTTA